GGTACCCGAATCGAGAACCGATGGGTTTGGGTCGGGTCTCGGGTCTAGACCAAGAACCGAAGAACCGAACAAGAACCGAAACTAAATAATTTTTTTATTTTTTATATTGAATTAATTAAATTATTTTATTTTTTTCCTATACAAATTAGCAAATTAATTGAATAAATTAGATTATTTCATAATTTTAATTTTTAAGCCCAAATCATTTTAAAATTCATTAGCCCATTTTAATTTGAAGCAAATGAATATACTTTATGTAGTTTTGCTGTAATATTAATATCTACTTTTTGATATTTGTATGCATTGAATTAATCTTATTGGACGGCTAGTTTTATATATATTTTTGAATTGAGGTAGGTTAATTTGTAAAAGTTACGAATGAAATGTTATTAATTGTATTTATATAGTATTGCTGAAAATATTAAAAAATTTAATTATGGTACGGAACCGAACGGAACCGAACCGACCCGAACCGAACGGAACCGAACCCGAACGGTTCCATAATTATATTTGGACCCGACGGGTCCATTTATTAAATACCCGAAAGTTTTGGGTCGGTTCGGGTATCTTCAGAACCGAACCGAACCGACCCACGGACAGCCCTAGGTCCGAGTTTAAATTTTCAAAATTTTCAAGTTTCTACAGTAAAATGAATTCCTTTTCGTCACTTAGTTTGGTTCATTGTTAGATTTTACATGGAGATTCAAAGAAACGAAAATCTTTGTCCATTTTCACTATATTTAGTATCCAATGCGACACATTGATAGTAGTAGACATCCCGACAAAGTAGTCTGGGGCTTCATCATATCGTCAAAATTTTACGAAGTTTACGATAATTGTCAACCTACTAAAATACTCTACTCCTCGGGACTGAACTGGTTATGAAAAAGGAAGGCGGAGTTTAGCTTACATGTGAACTGTATAAATCCATTCCTGTTGGAATAGTGTAACTTGAAAGTAGCAAACGAAAATAACAATGGCAAAAAACTAAGCTTTATTCCCTTTAAAGTTAGGATCACAGCTACATGAATACTTACTTTGCCATTCTGATGTGTTTGTTACTAGATCTACTGAGTGATCTAAATCCTTAGCAAATAAAAGAATTAAGCAAAAAAGCAAGATTTCAATAGTCGACAGCTTACGGCTAACCAAATCCTGGCTGGCAATGAAAACCTTCACCTCGACACAAAAAGGCAAATAGAACAATTCTTGTCCACTCTCACCAGCAGATGTACAAAAATCCAACCTTTCAACAAAAGGAATCCTCCAAAGAACATTTCAAACCTCTTCAAGAACCAAAAAGAGCTCAATCCCGTGCAAAATGCGCACAAGAAATGACGTAGATTCAAGAAATAAAGGAAAATTTGATTGCAATTTTATGGAATGTTAAGTGACTTACAGCATGTGTGAGTTTACAATATTTAAGAAGGGAGATTGCCTTCTAGCTTGAGATTAAGGCTCTGAATCAAACAGCCAGATATGCTGTCAAGTAGTATAATCCTTTCTATGAAACAATCATTAGTGTCATACGAAGTTTTACACTGTGAACGTAGATCACTCTTTTCCTTTACCTGGGAAATGGCAATAAATATGATGAGGCACGAAATAGCTACTCATATTATAGAGGTTCCTTCATCAAGCAGTCTTGCAATATGAACAATTACAGATGCTACATATGCAATAAAAGTACTCAAGAATTACTAGAATGAGAAAATAGAAGAGGTCAAAAGAAAAGGAAAAATTAACAAATTAACCAGCTTCAAGATTCAAACATAGTTTACACCAATAAAAATGATTTGAAAATCCCAGTACTCAGTCAGAGAGTTACTGATAAGAAAATTCATACAATGTTTTGACCCCATACAAGACAAGCAGTCATTCCAAATCTTTACAATGCATCTCCCCATCTTATTGAGAAACAAAAATACATCAACTGATAGAAATAGGAACAGAACCGAGAAGTTAATCATCTACTTCTTGTGATCTTGGGAATCCAGTCACTAAGAGTTAAGATCAAATCAGGCTGCCGGAGCTCCTGAATTGTGTCCCATCTGATTGGCCAGATAACCTGCACTATCGAGACGCAGATTTGCAGGTCAGGCTGCCGGAGCTCCTGAATTGTGTCCCATCTGATTGGCCAGATATCCTGCACTATCGAGACGCAGATTTGTAGGGCCACCAAGATTCTGATGATTACCTGGAATCATGCATCAACAGCATAGGCTTAAAAAGGAAGATGGTATAATTTCTTATCAATTTTCAATGGTTACCAGGTGTCTTTTTAAATAGGCAAAATCTACAGAACAAGCTTAAATAAAAGATGAAGTGCTGCATTTGTTTGATCATTTGTCAATCAATTATCTTGAGAATATATATGATAACCAATACGCTTTGGAGAAATTGACAAATAAAGGGATGAGCTGCATATAAGCAGGTTACTGGAAATCAAGATGCACAAGTTTCACAATGGCCATCGTGGTATCAAACTACTGATAATTAAGGTTAAAAACTTTATACGCCATTGTAATTTAGCTTCCTTTGTCAAGGGCGGTTTAGTATACGCTTGCATCTTGTTTAACATGATATTGGAGCAAATTTTGATACTGTCTTCAGCAAGTGGCTGAGTATCAAGGGCAGTTTAGTAGTCTTTTCATTTGTTCTTATTTATATTTTTTCCTCCATATAGTTTCTGTATGTTTTTTTTTTCCAGATTATTGAATAATAGGATTGCATCTTGTTTAACATGACTAACAGCAAATTTCAATTCTGTTGCGAACTAAACTAGCCTTTGCTTCCCTCTCTGGCGGCTAAATATTGACATTAAGGTGGACAAAATCGAGAAAACTACATGATTTCCATGTAAAAGAAAATAAAGAATCTATTAGAGGATTAAAGAAATACGATATTCAGAATAGCGGTTGCTTAAATGTCAAAGTATCCTGAAGATACCCGAACACGGGTGGCAGCAATAAGAACTCCTGCAACTGCACCAGCCAGGGTATAACCGTCGGGACCAAAAACAGAGACATATAAACAACCAATTGGGACATCAGAAGCAACGTTGAGCGTATAAAAACCAGATAGAGCCAAAATAGGAGAGAATCCCTGCAGAAGGATGAGAAATTCATATATTCAAAATTTGAATAATCCAATCAAAGAATTTGTTACAGAGGTGCGTGCTTCTAAATTGTGTAAGAATTTAGAAATGGCATACCCGTAAATATTGAGATTAACAGACTTAAGAATACATTGGATACAAAGACAAGTAGTTTGTTATGTGAAACCAGGCATGCTGGTGTCCCAGGGAGAATATCTGCAAAGGTACCAAAGCATCCTTCTAGAATCATTTGATCTTAAAAGCTTAAACTGTTACAGAGAGCCACATGTATGTCATTTATATTGTCGTCAACATGCCCCCCTCAAAAGGAGACGGTGTTCATTCTTTTCCTATTGACACGTGCACAATTTCATCAAATAGATGGCGGCAACACCTGTCCTTTGTCTGCTTGGATATCATATCGAACCGCTTGATATAAAAACTTAAGTTGTTATAGAGTGCTTATATCATTTACTTCAACAATCTTGTATATATTGTAATAGACCAGATCTAAGGTCATCCTCTTGTAGCGTCACACATGTACACAACAATGATTACATGTTTGGTAAGGAGGATTACAAAACGCTAGATGATGTTAAGAAGAAAAGAAGCGTATTTTCCCGTTCAATACCACATACCATACATGTCCTTAGTGCATATTAGCATGAGCATGTCCATTGATGTAAACTATGAAAATTGGTCACCGGATGTGCTTCCCGAAGGTCCAGCGACCTCAAAAAAGGATGGAAAACACTCCTCGGTTCTTCTGTGGGAGTGAGAATTAGTATATTATATTAAAGAGAGAAAAAATGCAAAACATAAAAGCTTAAGAACGTAGAGAATGTATCTCACAGAGGATACCTTCATGTTTCAAGCCTATATATAGAAGTTTACCTTGATGACGTGGCACAAGGATCATTCAACTCGTGTCTTGGAGGTGAAGGAACACGTGTACTTTCCATTCCAAAAAATATGGAGTCAATTTAGGAGGTAATTAAAAGTTGTTAGGCTCCATGGGTTGTGGCTTGGATGCGCGGAGGGTCATTTGACGTGCAACCAAACTTCTACAGGGCTGGTAGGGGCTTACCAGCCCTACACCATGGGCTGGCAAACTTGGAAGCCCCCCTCTTGGGCAGGTCAACCTTGACCAGCCTTCCTTTTTGGTCTGCCTGAGCTGACCAACTTTACCTGTGGTCAGTCAGCCCAGCTGGCTCTCTTTTGTGTTGGTTGAGCAATCTTCTACTTGTATGATTTACCTTAAAGTTCCCGTAGTTTTATGGTGTTAAAGTTCTGATTAGTCTTCATCATTTATGATTCTATTTTTCAGTTGACTTTTTGGACAGCTAGTATCATGCATAGACGTGTTTTTGTCTCGTCTTTGTGTGATATGCCTTACAATATGTAAATGCTCTGTGCTAAAGATTTGATAGTTCACAGCTGCAACAATTTTGTAAAACTGTCAAAACTACAATATTTGAAGTTCATACCTTAAATGTGCGAGTCATGGGGGACACACCAGGGGTCTCTCTTTTAAAACTCACGATGGAGACCGAACCAACTGCTGCCAAGATAGATATAGCCCTTGTCCCTTGTTGCAAAAGTGAGGTTATCCTTGCCAAAATATTCTGCCAGGAAAAGTGATGCAGCAGCAATGCAATTCAAGCCAATAAATAGAAAAGAACAGAAAAAGCAAGAAGAAGAAGCTAAAGAAGAAGAAGCCGTGAAGAAAGGGGAGGAAGAAGAAGAAGCAGGGAAAAGGGGAAAAGTTGGCAACGGCTAATCTCAATTTTAATCAATCATCGTCTAACTAAATTGTAATGTAAAAACTGTTTAAATAGTGAAAACTTAGTTGGGTTTGGGCCAACCAACTATTACAAGCTCAATAATAATAATAAAAGCATAAATAATAAAGTCCAATAACAATAACATAAATAACAAAGCTCGATAACAATAAAAATACATCTCGATGTCTCGATGATGTCCGCATCAACTCTCCTGGGGTGGGAGAAAACTCGACCCCGTCGAGTGGATAAACTTCTACCACGGGGGACGATCTTTCATAGGAACCAAATATCGAAATTCCAGCAGAGTAATCAAGATTTGTTGACGCTTCTCCATAGGACTCCATGTACGGTCTGTGTCAGGTGGAACTACCCAACGAACAAGGAAGCACCAAATCTCTCTATCATTGGTCAACACAATTTGTTCATCTAAAATGACATCAATTGTATCTTTGTGTGATGTGATAGAGGGTATGAAAGCAGTAATATCAACATAGACAGGTTGGGAGTCCACAAAGCGAGATAGAAAATGATCATCAAAGGAATGGAAACAGTGTTTGTAAGTAATGAAGTCCTCAATATATGAAGTAGGGTGGTAGCCAAAATGTGAGAAAAAGATCGATAACATGTGCATTTGGACCAACGTGCTTTAAAATTTTAAAATGATCAGCACTATGAGCTTGCAATATAATATAATCCCCAATATTAAATTCAAAATATCATTTACGCAAAACATCTTGAAGTTTATATAATGCATTGCTTGCTTCAAGTCGTTTATTGATCTCAATATACAAATCATAAAGATGTTGTGCAAATGTTTCAACTGACATAGACACTCTAGCATGTGGAGACATGGGAATGAGATTTAAAGGCTTCATAGACTCATAACCATGAATAAATTCAACGGGACTCATACTTATTGATCGATTCACAAAATTTTTAAACTTAATTTGAACTCGTGGGACGATCAAATCCCAATTCCTAAGATTTTCCTTGAAAATTGCATGATTACGCAAATCGATATTACATCTGGATTGGATAAGTGTATGACATACAACACTTGACTGAGAGGTATCGGGGACAAGGGGTACAATACCTTGATTCATAGGAAAAGTCTGGATACTACCTAAGGAGGCGTTCTCACTATCATCCATGTCATCAAATTCCTCAAGTTTTGGTTCATAGACTTGATCTTCTAACTGATCGTCTAGTATATTATTTCGTTCTTCGATGACTAAGGCTCGGCTAAAATATTTGGAAGAGATGTGGCTAGAGTCCTTACAGTTGATGCACTGCAAGTGAGATGAAGTCCTTGGAATTTCAGAAATTGTACCCTTATTTTTTAACACAAGAGGAACATTTGACGAGGAAGGTCTCCTAATAGACTTAAGAGGAAGTGGCGTTGAGGATATTGGTGTATAGTTGTCACAACGCGTTTTATATGGAGTACCAATAATCAACTCAAAATCTCGGGCTAAAGAGTAAGCTTGATCAAGAGTAGTGACACCCCTAAGGAGAAGCTCACGCCTAAGATCATCTCTTAAACCTTGACTAAACCTACTCAAAGTCAAGGCCTCATCCTCAATGACATGACGTTTCATTCGAAATTCCTCAAATTCAGCAATATACTCAGTTACTAACCGATTCCCTTGTTTAAGGGCATTCCATTGGGTACAAATCTCAAAATCTAAGCAACCGTCAAAAGTAGGAGCATCTACTTTATTGTTTTTAAAGAGACGCTCCTTATGACGTGGAAGAGAATGAGTATTGTGATGATCATAACTTCGTTCTTGCTTATGAACCCAATCCCCATTCCTACGATTTTGCTTAAAAGTGGACAACCTAGCACCTAAATCTCTATTCTCTTTACGAGTAGCGACCATCTCAGTTTGGACAACGGCGACTTGAGTGACAAGTTGTGCTAATTGACGAGTGATGACATCAAGTTGGGATAGGTCCATGGTTAGGTTACGAGAATTAGATGTGATAAGACGACCACGACACAACTTTATGTACTGTATTAGCAACTAAATGACGTGCAATGAAGAGATCAATGAACAATAAGTGCAGGCAACGGAAAATAATAACTTGAGCATT